CATTTCCCCTTCAACTCCCTTTTGGGCGGCACCAGTTTCGACAGTTGGCATTTGCTCCACATCGACTTGATCAAGGTTATGGTTCCTTCATGATCGTTATCACCATTAGTGAAGTCGGCCAAGATTAGCCCCGGCTCTAATGTTGGTGGGAGCCCTTGCAAAACCTGATACTGACAAGTTACTCTAGACGGATAGTACTCAATTGCTCCAGTAAAGCCTAACGGGGGAACTGGTCCGATACCATTACATATAAACCGTGCCTCTTGGACTTGGAACCAATTAGCAAGCCATTGGAAACCTTTGGGACTCGGACTTTTCAGAAAAGCTAACCGTTCGGAATAGTGATAGTCTAGAGCATCTTTTTCTTATCTTTAAATCTCAAAATGGGATGATTAGAATCATTAACCTCAGGTATTGTTAACAAATTGCTACACCCCTTTTTATGAGACAAAAATCAAATTTACAAAAGTTCATGGGAGCATGAAATGTTTTGTCACCATTTTGCTTGTATTTAGTGAGAGAAATGAAAGTTTCGGCTAAAATGATATTGACAAAATTGTTTTCAATGTTGACTTGTTGAACCAACCATGCAATGGACGGGTTACAAGTATTCTTGCAGTGAGGGAAAATCACAAATCCAAATAAAGCTAGCAAAAAGATCCTACCCTTTTAAAAAGGTGTGGCATTATTAAAACATTGATCTAGAAATGAAAAAAAGACATGTTCCACGATTTCCCTTCAAAAATTTTCTCACTTCATCATCTTCTTTGATACTAAAAAATTCCGACAAGGTTAATATGGGGTCCAATCCTATAGGTGGAATAATTAATTCCGAGTCCAAAGATTTCCTAATGACTATGCTATATTCTTTCAAAGTCAGAGCAAGTTCATGCTCACCGAATGCAAAGATAGTTGTTTCTAGACACCAAAAATGCGCCAATTCTCGAACAAGGCCGGTACGGACTTTGACCTCCAATTAGGGGAGTAACCTCACTATCTTGGTTTTCACAAAAAAGTGACCAGTTAGATTGAGTCTGCTCCACCAAATGCTGAGCTCGTCTTTAGGAGCAGTAATAATCCGGATGTCGGCTCCTCCCATAGTTTATAGACCAAGACTCACGATCAACCTAGTGTCATAGACCGACTAAAGATACAGAAAAGTAAGTAAATTGCAAAGTAAAGGTTTAGAAGACTTACTTCACCCAGTAGAACTATGACAATCACATAGACATGCGCATGGAACGTGAGGTTCGATTTCTACTCTAAACGGCTTGCAAAGTGGAGCCATGAGAATTACCGGACTACACCAACGTGGTCGTGGTTTGGCCGGGGTTCCCTTAACTCCGGCTTAGTCAAAGAGTCAACCTATGTTGCATAGTTGCAGACCGGGGTGGTAACTCAATGACACCAAGAAAGAAAAGTTTTTAGGACCGAGAAGGGCGACCCATACTACGTAGGTGTAGTCAAAGTGTCCACTATCTCGATACCATCCTAAACCTATGCCACCCAGGTCCGACAGCGGATAGTGTGTACAGTGTAGTGAATGCAAAGATCATGTACAGTAGGTTATATCAAACGACGCTTCATACATGAAAATAAACCATTCATTCACACATCCATGCAATTCAAGGGTTAGCAAACACTACTCCCCTTATACCTCTCATTCTGCAAATAACATTTAACACCTTAAACGTTAGGGACATACCTGGATTTATCATTGCCAAACAAAAATATTGTTTTTAAAAAAGAAAACTAGCCTAAGTCCACTAAGAGTTTTCTAGTTCCTAGTGGAGTCGCCAAGCTGTCGCGACCTTACCCTCTGCGATGCACCACCTAGGGGTTCGGCTAATGGATTATTAAGTCTATGCCTAACTTGGGCTCTCCCAAGCCCTACCAATTCGCAACTTATGGTTCAAGTTGTTAACATGCAAATGATTTTTATTTTGGAGTCGCCACTAATCTATTTACAATAGGTCGATTAGAAACCTAAATAAAGTATGAGGAGATATACTTTATTTTTACGAACAAGAGATGGTCAGTACGAGGACTTGGTTATGCTAGATTATTCTATTGCCCTTTCGGTACCTTTTCTTTTCATATGAAAACATTTGAGCAGACAGCTTGGATTAATTTTATTCCTTCCTAACATGTGCGGTGATGATGCGGGTGCGCAAACCACCAAAGTGACATCCAATAACCAAAGCATTAAATAAATTGCGAGATAGGGAGAATTACTTACCTCAAAGTAACATAAGCATTTACATTGTTAGCTAGAAAATCACATCAATAATCCTAATATGATTTGTAATTAACAAGCAATTTCACTCAATATTTTTCTTTTGGGTTTTCTCTCGATTTATATGAAAAACTAACCTACATGTCATGACATGCGATTAAATAATCCTAACATGCACACTATATGACATGCAAATGATTTATTTTTGTATTTTTTATTAAAATTCGGAATAATAAAATTGCCTAAATTAACACGTAAACTATTTTTGTATTTTTTATTAAAATTGAGGACACCGTTGTCCCAGCAACCCAATAATGTGGGGGCTGTCGAAGAACGAAAAGCATTACCGGGCAGTGGTGGACAGCAACCGCTGATGAGAACTATTCATCACGAGTCGCACCCCAAACGCTCGCTTTGTTCCTCCCCTCGCCGCCTTACAAGGGGGGAGTGTTCACGTGCAATGCATGCGGGAACGACGGGGACACATCCTCCTGCCATTGCTCAATCTGCTAGTACGACCTCCACCCCAAGTACGCCGACTTGGCGGCGACAGCGAAATGTGAGGACCACGAGCACCCTCTCACGTTGTACTATTCCTTGACGCAAGAGCAGAGCCTGATCCGCAAAATGTGCCGAGAGAGCGCCAAGGGTTGCTGGTGTTGCACAGATTGCAATTACGGGACGCACGTGTACTGCGTGGAGGCTGAAGCAGGGGAAGCATGGGAGGATAATGAAGGAGACGAGACTGAAGATATAGGGCATATGATAGACAGAGTTTCAGCACTAGATGAAAATGCAGTCCATGCTTGCTAGTATGGTCTCCTCATCCACCAGCGGAGCTAGCCTACGCTAACATTGTGCACGCACAAGTTTTTCACTCCAAGCCTGCACTATGAAATTAAGTTCCACTCCTTGAATTTTCTTAAATTTGAATTTTCGGTAAAATACGGAGTGCCCTCCTCCACTTTTTGTGCAATTATACCCCTCTGCATCCCCTACTTCTTGAATCACCGATTTGCGCTGCGATTTTTGTGGTTCGGCTTCAAACTGGGCCTACTTTACTTTCAAAACGCTGGCATTACTTTTCTACCACCCTATGGCTGTGTTTATTGAAGGAAAGGTAATATAACATGCAATTTAGTAACTTTAGGAGTTGGGAATAGTTAGGGCAATGCGAGGAGGGTATTTGGAGATTTCCTTGAATTTCGTGGTCTATTATGTTGTTATTACCTCATGTCGAGTTATCATAACTCATTTGGTGTTTTGGCAACAGTGTTCCTCTTACATCCTTTTACTTTGTAATTTGATGATTAAGATCCCTGTACTATTTGAGTGTGGGTCCTTCGAGTTTCCTATTTCAGCTCCTGTTCTTATTAATTTTTTTAATGGGATTATCAAATGATTTCGTCATGAAAAATCTATTTATGGAGATCCTTCGCATTGATGATCGAGTTATGTATGTGACTTAATTACTCTGAGATTAAAGAAACAACTATATAAAGAAAGTCACATAGGGTAACAGAAAATAGTCAGGATGTACTGTCAACCTCTATAGTGTAACATAAATTGACAGAATGTACTTTCAAGCTCAAAAATTCCTCTCTGATTTTAACAAGGAAGTACAGTTGATTCTTCCCTGCCGAGCACATTGATGAAATTGTGAATCTCCAAATTTTCTGACAAGCATAGCTCGAAATGAAAATGTTCATTTGCGGAGCCACTGTTAAGAATGCACAATGACCTTAACCAAGTCACTACAGAGAAAAAGACTGCCAACTGAAAGAGATGATCATATTTAGTTTTTGCTTATGCCAAGAGTATACCACATCAAGGAGTCACAAACGCATCATCAATCTCAGATTGGAGCAAGCACAACTTCTAAAAGAATTAGGTCAAAATACATGATCAATCACAAATGACCAGCTGAAAGTGATCATCGTTCATGCAAAAATGTAAGTCAATGAACGCACAGCTGCCCAAGCAAAAAGAACCGTGTGTTTATAAGATTCATAGGGAGAGCCGTCATTACACCTGAAAGGGAAATTTATCCAGCAATCTTCTACTGAAGATGGCGATACAAGACAGATCACTAGGAAGAAGGTCATGCAAATCAAATTGCCATACTCACCAAAGCTTCCAAAAGGTCTCCACGTTTTACTGAGAAAGGAACTCCTCCATCAGTACAATGTGTGGAAGGTGAGATGGAATTTACCCAGTTAATTGCATATAGGAATAGCTTCTTAAGGCCAAAAAGGACATTTCAGAATTTTTAAGATTAAAACCATGTCCTATGACATGAAAGTAATGAAACCATGTATCAAAACACCACAAACAGCCAAGAATCCTGCCAAAAGCTTAGCAGAGTTTATATAGTGCAAACTATAGACAGAAAGATCACATACTAAATATGTATAAGAAAAATCTGACCAAAAAAAAATATATGTATAAGAAAACATAGAGTTTACCCACTTAACTGCTTTTCAAAAATTCAGACATTTGAAAAATCATAGCCAAAATAGGCATTCATTTCTAACGCAGCTTCTCTTTTGCTAAGAGAAAAGGCATTACTTCCACAAGTAATTCTCTCGCCCTATCCTCAAAAGAGCCATCGAGACACCAAAAAGCTGTCCCCACTCCTTAGTCGCAAATGCCAATGAAGAAGTCAACCAAGATTGATCTCAGATACATTTGCAATTGCTAAAGCATGTCAGCGAAAGAGATCCAGTACCCATCATAGCATTGATAGAGTTGAGGCCAAATTTGATTGTTGAAGTCAAGCAAGCAATATCATCAGACCAAAATATCAGAACGAGCATTCACGGACATTAAACAGTTGAATCTTTTAGCCAAAGTTTGCACATCAACAGACTGATCAAGCAGGTTTGTCCACCCAGAGAACCACGAAGAAGAGATGCAACAGAAGAGACTTTGACAACTCCAGCAAGTAACAGCAGTACCTCCAATTGCTCTGCTACAAGCATAATATATTTTTCAATCAGCACAGAATCAACTGCTTTACTATAACTGGAAACAATTGTGTGAATACCTATCAAGAGTATTCTTTCTACCCTGAATGGAAGTTTCCTGTACCGCGACGTTCATAGGGACCAGAATGGTCCGGATTCTAGTGGTCATGTCCTGATCCTCCTCGAGTACCACTATCCCTATTGCGTCCTCCAGACCGATGACCATAGCGCCCACCACCACCACCACCTCCTCCTCCACCTCCACCTCCACCTCCATACCTGTCATCCCTCCCCCCATACCTACCTTCTCTGCCCCCTTAACTAGGACACCCCCTTGCAAAATGCCCAGGCTTGCCACACTACAAGCACTCTCCACCTCCACTTCCACGTCCAAAGAGAAATAAAAGCTTGTAAACCCCAGTGACAAGCCAAAGAGATATAAAAGCTTGTACTACCAACTTGTTTAAGCTTAATAGGTTTAGTTAAGTCAGAAAATAACTAATTTGTTTGGTAACGAAAGGCCACTCAATTCATTCGATAGAAAAAGATATCCATTGGCACTCAGAATCTTGCTAAATATTTTGCAAAATCTTATTAAAAGTTCTCCCGATTAGTTACCAAACTTGTATTATATGGCATTCAATATTTACTTATTATTAAACATATCTTATTTTCATTTTCAACATTAATATAATTGAAAATTAAGAGTTGAAAAATTGAGGGCATTAATGGCATTGACCTCAACTCAATCATAAAAAAATTCAAATCCTCGGGGTCATGATGACCTTGACTGAGCTTTGCGTTCGTGAAAAATATTCCATATTCAAGAAAGAACAATTACGTAAATTTTCGGTATGTCTTCGTCTATCAGAGGTATTGATATAAATGGAGATCCCCCCATTCACTAATCACATTTGCTTCAAATGATATGCGCAATGTTCGAAGTAAGTGAAATTTAAAATAAGTGCATTCTAAAAGAAGTAAACAAAATTAAATAAAATGTAATTCAAATGAATTTGGATTTTCATTATTTGAATGTAATGCTCAAATTTAGTGAATATTAAGTAGAATTTATTCAAGTGATAAAATAATATATCATTCATATTATTTCAATTTATTTTTGAGTTAAACGGATGATTGATGCTTTTATTCACGTAGTTAAGAAGAAATATACTTCAAATTATGAGTGTTATTCATTTAATGCGGTATATTTCTCTTTTTGAATTGTTTTCAGATTAAAAGGACTAATTTTATATTTGAAGGCATTTTATCTTTTATTTGTTTTTTTTTCAAAAATAAAATCTATGACATAAGTCGAAATATGATATATATTTGGGAAGAATAATTGAAACGTAATTCAAGATTTTTTTATTATTTCTTTTATTGGACGAATCCACTTAAGAATAGTATTCTTGCTTACTATCAATTCTTAAGTTTAAATTTAAGTATATTAAATGATGGATGCTTGAGGATGAGAAATTACAAAACTAATGCAAATTGAATGAATATAGGCCATGTGGCACGATTAAGCTTGTGACTATCATAGAGGTACAGTTTGTCACGTGACAATCATAGAGGTACAGTTTGCCATGTGTCGTTCACAAAAGCACATATTCCTTTAGCTCTGGCTTTATCGATAGATATAAGATGAACAAATATTGATATATGTAATCACATTTTCCTTTTCATAAGCTTTTATACATTTAAATATTGTTTAACTTTTAGAGAAAAGTCATTTAGTAATTTCTTTATTGTTTTAAAAGCCAAAACAAGCGGGCCAAGTTTGCAAGAGAGCAAGACAAACGTCCATATTACCTGATGTCTGAAGGTACCTGTATTAGAAGCTAAAGCAAAACACAGCACATTTATTTTTCATAGATCTTCCTTGGATTGCTCACTCACTAGTCTCCATTACTTGTGGTTTTGCTATTGCCAGATTCAAATTGTCTTTGAATGGCAAAATTCCATATCCACTTCCAAACAAAGCAATGATCATGAAGACGACAAGACTCCATACGAAGTTCGGATTTTACATAAACTAGGCAATGACAATGAACTCAAGAAGTTTCATCCTGATTATTTGGAGTTTAGTCAATGCATCGCCAATGTCCATTCGTTCCTTGGGAAACTCAAAAGAGCAAGCGACTCCAATTTCGATGATCGAAACCAAACATTCCTGAATACTGCAACAACTTTTGTTCTTCCACTTCGGAGCAACTGTTTGTCTCTTCTCCAACTCCTTGATTTCCTGAAACAGAACGGGATTGATTACCTTTTCCACTCCGTCTACTAGAGCTGCCTTTGCGAAGCGATGAAGGTCCAGTCCATTTGCAAACATGTCATCGGTCGGCCTCTTGCCTGTGAATATCTCCAAAACGAGGACTCCGAAGCTATACACATCTCCTTGTGTGGATACCGCACTTCCCAAGCCATACTCTACAACAGTCAATAGAGAGTAGTGATGCATAGTGAATAATTAAGATTGATGCATAGTCAACAGCCGTACTCTACAACAGTCAACATGTTCGGTTTTTGACGGCCCTAGTCTTGGTGATGTTTCATGTTTATGCCTTTTTCTTTAAGGATCGGTCTTCAAATTACATGTTCAAAATATGGAAATAAACTAAAAGACCTAACTGCTACATCATTACCTAGAGGTATGTAGCCAAAAGATCCTTTTACCCCGACAGAGCTTGATTGATTGGCCATTAACTTATGCATTGCTTCTGGGAGGAACCTGGCAAGCCCGAAATCGCTTACATGTCCAGTCATATCATCATCAAGAAGTACATTGCTGGGCTTTAGATCACAATGAACTATCGGCGTTTCACAGTGATGATGGAGGTAATCTAGAGCACAAGCAACATCAATTGCAATATTCACTCTCTCAAGTAGATTGAACTTGCTTCTTGTTGTATATTGTGATGCAGTTGGGTGCAACCATTCATCCAAGCTCCCGTTTGACATGTATTCATAGATCAATGCCTTGAAATCATTTCCATTAAAATCAAAACCAGAACAAGCCGTGAGTACCTTCACGAGATTACGGTGTCGGATTCTTCTCAAGACCCCACACTCGGCCATGAAGCTTTTGGAAGCTCCGTGGCGTGTAAGGTCGAGAATCTTGATGGCCACGATCGACTGAGTCTGATCAAGAAACCCTTTGTACACAGATCCAAAATTGCCCACACCAAGCAAATTGGTGGAGGAGAATTCACATGTCGCTTTCAGTAGACTATGATAAGAAACATGCAAAAGTCCTTCTTCAAAAGAGCTTGAAGCTGATGCTTTCTTATTGTGTTTATACCGGAAGAAGTATAACAAAGAGAATATGCAGGCTACTCCTACAAGAGCAGAGACTATGTATATGAGAACTTTTGTAGTTCTGCTTATTCTTCTCCGTTTTGACTCTTCATAGTCGCATTTTGGTAGTTGAAAATATGGCATACCCCCGCAAAGCTTCCTGTTTCCAACAACTGATGTTGAAATGGGACTTCCAAAAACTCCTCCTGTAGGCAACGCACCCTCAAAATCGTTGTAAGATAGGCTCAAATTCGTCAGATTTAGTGACTCTAGATATTTCGGTATTTCGCCTGACAATTGGTTGTTGGAAACATTCAAAACTTGAAGGCCTCTCATGGAACTCATAGTCGATGGTAGGGGCCCTTCAAAAAAGTTATCCTGGAGATACAGGCGTTCCATGGATGTACAACTACCAATACTTCTAGGGATATGTTGAGATAATCTGTTCCCGTTAAGACGTAATTCACCGAGATTTTGCAATTTTCCAACTTCTCCTGGAAGGGGGCCAGTAAGATTATTTTGAGACAAGTCGAGATAAATCGACAAAGATGAGAGGCCCACAATTTCTGGGGGTATGTGACCGCTGAGGTTGTTGGCCGAAAGGTTCAATTGAAGTAGATTCAGGCAGTTTCCTAGGGACAATGGTATCGAGCCTCGAAGATTATTGCCATCTAAGTCCAATTTGGTTAACATTCTTAAATTCCCAATAGATTCTGCTATCTGCCCTGAGAATTTATTTTGTTCGAGAGACATAATCCTCATTTTGTTCAGATTTCCTACCTCAGAAGGAATGTTTCCCGAGATATTGTTGCCCTCCATTCCTAGGATCTCCAAATTGATGAGATTTCCGATTCCAGAAGGTAAGGTTCCAGAAATTTGATTGCGACCTAACACAAATATATAAAGGGTGATAGAAAGGTTACCGATACAGTCGGGGATTGGTCCTCCAAATTCATTGCTCTCCATACCCAATACTTCCAAGTTTGTGGAATTGGTTAAAGAGCAGAGGAAGTCCAGATCAGCAGATTGCCTACTTCCTAAGTTATTTGCATTAATAGCCATCCAATAGAGTCCTCTCATCTGTGAGAAAGAAGGAACTTTCCCGGTAAAGTTGTTCAACCCAATTTGGAATCGACTAAGATTAGAGACATTAGATATTGACTTAGGAATGGGTCCGGTGAGGTGGTTGTCACGAAAACTGATTATCTCAAGATTCAGAAGAGTGAAGCCTAAGTCACTGGGTAAGCCCCCTTCTAATTGGTTTTCGGCTGCTGCAAGCATTGTCATAGTGGATATATTGAAGATTGAGATAGGAATCGTACCGACAAATTTATTCTCACTGAGAAAGAGGATATTTAGATTTCTCAGCCAACTGAGAGTCTCCGGGATCGTACCACCAAGGTTATTTGAAGATGTTGCGAAGACTTGAAGAGAGGTTAAGTTTCCAAACGATGGCGGAATGTTTCCCGTCAAGTGGTTGGCTTGAAGAATAAGTTCTTGGAGCTTGGACAAGGAGCTGAGTTCTGTAGGCAAATTTCCTTCAAGTGCATTGTAGCCTAAGTTAAGAACAAGCAAATCAAAGCAATGGGAGAGATTCGAAGGGATTTGTCCACTGAACGAGTTGTTATTCAGGAACAATTTCTGCAACCGAAACAAGCGTCCGAATTGCATGGAAATTTCAGAGCTAAAACTGTTGTTTTGCATATGGACTTCCCTCAAAAAGCTCAAGTTACCAATATGTGGTGGCATTGCCCCAGATAGGTTTTTGGAGTGGAGGTCTAATACGGTGACTCGTCGGTGTCTACGACTGCATGTGACACCATACCACTCGCAAAAGTGGACAGTATCATTCCATGAGCTCAAAACCCCACTAGGATCAGCCACTCGAGCCTTGAATTCTAGCAAAGCAAGCTGATCGGTCTCGTCCCCGCCAGTTTCTGCTAAAGCTAGGACACTCCCAAACAGAAGAATGATGGTAGTTAAGCATGAGAGTAACTTGGATAAAAGCCGATCTCTATACGGAAGGTCCATGAGGATTGGTAACAAAGCATTCTCAGCTTGAGTCTTTTTAGCGTCTGTGCGACATTGTTTCGAAACAACTGGCGAAATATATCGACGGATCTTTGATACTAAGACATGTGGATGTCGTCATTGCAAGAATATTCATGACAGATATTTCATGGGCCCCTCAAGTTGAAAAAAATCCCAGGCTGTGAGTTGCAACTTGCAAGGAATCTATTGATGGTCAAGTCGGTCAATGAAAGCCCGAACCTCATGTGGCGTACTTTTGTTCATTATCAATTGTGTCCTTATCCTACAAGGCTACAATCTACCTTCGAATCTCTGAATTGCCCATGCCGTCCAGTAAGGGCGACGACTTTAGTCCTTTCTGTGAATATAAAATATTTGACTTTACGGTACATAGAACACAATTAGCGTGAGTTTCAAGAAAATATCTTCTTCCTAATCACATTGAGACTAAAATAACCAAAATCGAGGCTTAATGAAACTATTATATCCCTATTTCCACGAAAATTGTCTGAAAAATCCTAAATCTAATGTATGGCAACTAATTCAGTAATAAACTTTTTAGTTATGCCAATTTAGCATTTTAATAATTTGCCAATTTAGTCACAAACCTTTTAAAGATTTGCCATTTTAATTCTTCCGATCAAAAAAATGCTGACGTGGCTGTCTAGTCAGCCCTGACCGTCATACGTGGCACAGCTGATGCTAATGTGGCACGGCCGGTATTGACATGGACAATTTTTGCAATTTTTTTAATTTTATGATTTTTTTTCCTTTTCTTCCTTTACTTTCCTTTTCTTTTTTCTTTTTCTTTTTCTTTTTTCTTTTTTATTTTTTATTTTTCCATTTTACCTTCACCGGCCATCGCCTAACGAGGGCCAGGGACTCCTGCGCCTAGGCTGATGAGGGCAGCCGCTGCTCGATTTGGCAAGGGCCACCCTCGCCTAAGGCTGGCAGGATAAGGCCTAGTGGAGGGGAAAAGGAAAAAGAAAAGTAAAAAAAAAGGAAAAAAATTCTTAAAATTAAAAATATTGTTCATGTCAGCGCTGGCCATCCTACAGTGACAACCATCCTATGTGGCAATGCCACGTAGGACGGGCGGCGCTTACTAGACCGCCATGTTAGTGATTTCCGGAAAAAATTGGCCAAAAAGACTAAATTGACAAATTTTTTAAATGTTTAGGACTAGATTGGCAAATCATCAAAATGTTAAAGATTAAATTGGTAAATTGTCGAAAGGTTTAGGACTAACTTGGCACTATGAAAAGTTTGACTGAATTTATCTATATACAATTTATTTAGGATTTTTTGGACAATTTTTCCCACTCCTGCAAGAGAGTAAAATGAAAAGCATAGAGAAATGTAAAGGTTGCATTTGAAGTGAAGCATTTGAGATAATCTTTTCTACAAATTGCAATGATATGATAAAATAGTTCACTTCTCCACACAATGTCCCATCTTATGCGGTTGGAATATCGTTTGTTTTTTTAAAATTCGAAATTGTGCTTACACCGTAAAGGAGAGCAAAATCTCTACTATGGGAAGAAGTATATATTTCAAAATATTGCTTGTCAGACCCATTTTGGAGCGGTGTTTGACTTATTATATTAATATGCAAATTGCATTGTACATCTTAAATAGTTATAGATGAATTGCTAATTAACAATCACAAAGTCCATTCTATCGTATCATGATTATTAACATCTTACTATAGTCACGTTTTCGTTTCAAAGGATTATTACAATTGTAAAAAGAAAACTAGATATGCATCTAACCCTGCAGGGACGTAATAGCTACTTAGAAAAGTCAGCAAGTTGCAGTTGGCAGATGCGTTTGATTGAGGAAGTGCGAGAGTTTCAAGTCAAGTCAACGACCGTGCTTCTTCTTCTTCGGACAGTGGTAAGCAAGACAGCTCACATCGGAAAAGTCGTAGGATCGTCGACCTGACGGGCGTTCCACGGCAAGACCTCCCACCTTGCATAATTCCAGTGAAGGGAGCAACAATGTGACCGCTTTCCAAAAATCGAAGTGTCGATTGGTCCTACGGGGTGGTTTGACATCCACTCATCCCAACCAAATCACCATACTTGTCATGGCAAAGTCCACCACGTGTCCAACCAAACCACCACCACCCGTTTCAACCAAATCACGTCATGCTAGCGGCCACTCGGCCGTCGGGATAAGCTTATCTGTAAATACTGCCCAAGGGTAAAATTTCTGGTCTTTAGCTCGTTTTCTCCCTTTTTAACTCATTATCTACACATTTTTCTTTTTCCTTCACTAACTTAAGCATTGGCGGATCAATCCCGATAAAGAAAAAAAACCTGGATGCTTTTACCCATGTCTGTTCGCATAGGCTCATTTCTAGGTTGGAGTTTTGGTGGATTCCTCAAGACTGAATTATACACTAATGGAAAGTATCACGCTTCTCGAACATAATGCTATTATTATCAGCATAAATATGACCTATGAGTTGATATAAATGTATAATTGATTTTGGATTAGATTCTTGTGGCTCATGGGAGAGAGTTGTAGAAATCACTCCTAGATCGTAGAATTAGTAAGAAGAGAAATACTAATTATATAACATGCTAAAATTTAGTTAAAGTGCTCATATTTGTCTCACACGTTATCATAGCCGTCTAGGACTTTGTCGCATTTCATTTAATACGCTGATTCTAATTGATGATAAACAACCTTGTAGCAGAAAAATTCTCAATATCCGTGATGTTCTATTACTCAAGTAATTTACATTAATCTCCACATGCGATCCAAGGGGTTACTTTTTTTTTAGGGTCGAAAGAAAATTATATTCATTGCTCAAAAGATTACATGAGAAGTATAGTGACTTTGATGGCCCAGCGATTCATGGCAAATTTCCTTCTAGCATATTGAAGCCCAAGTCAAGAAAGAGAGAATTAGAGCAATGGGAGATATTCAAAGGGATTTGTCTGCTAAACGAGTTGTTATTAAGGAGCAACTTTTGCAACTGAAACAAGCAGCCAAATTGCGAGGAAATTTCGGAGCGGAAACTATTGTTCTGTAGATAGACTTCCTTCAAAAAGCTCAGGTTACCTATATGGGGCAGCACAATCCTAGTCAGGTTCTTGAAGTGGAGGTCCAACACAGTGATTTTTCGGTGCCTACGGCCGCATGTGACACCGTACCACTTGCATAAGTGGTTTGAATCATTCCAAGAGCTCAAAGCCCCACCAGGATCGGCTATTTGGGCCTTGAATTCCAGTAAAGCCAGCCCATCAATCTCATCCCCAATTAGTAGTGGCCACGACTCCAGTCTTTTCGCGCGTTTAAAATCTTGACTTTCTAGTACTTGGAACACTATTAGTGCGACTTTCAGTCAGTAAATGCGGGCTGAAACATCATTGTGGCGTTGTTTGGTTAATAATCACTTGTGTCCCCATCTTATAATCCGCCTTCCAATGTCTGAATTGCCCCGTGCCTTTTAGTAGTGGCAACGACTTTAGTCTTTTCTGCGCATATAAAATATTGACTTTCTTGTACTCAGAACATTATTAGCGCGAGCTTCAATCAGTCAATGAGAGCTGAGACATCACATGGCCAAGTTTGGTTCATTACCACTTGTCTCCTTATCCTATCATCTACCTTCCACTGAGTTGCCCATGCCGATTAGTAGTGGCGACGACTCCAGTCTTTTCCGCGCATATAAAACCTTGACTTTCTGGTACTCGGAACACTATTAGTGCGAGTTTCAGTCAGTAAATGTGGGCTGAAACATCATTGTGGCGTAGTTTGGTTCACAATCACTTGTGTCCCCATCTTATAATCCACCTTCCAATGTCTGAATTGCCCAAGCGTTTTAGTTGTGGCAACGACTTTAGTCTTTTCCGCATATAAAATCTTGACTTTCTTGTACTCAGAACACTATTAGCGCGAGTTTTAGTCAATCAATGAGAGCTGAGACATCATATGGCCTAGTTTGGTTCATTACCACTTGTGTCCTTATCCTATAATCTAGCTTCCAATTTCAGAGTTGCCCATGCCGATTAGCAGTGGCGACGACTTCAGTCTTTTCCGCGCATATAACATCTTGACTTTCCGGTACTCAGAACACTATTAGTGTGAGGCTGAGTTTCAAGAAAAGATCCAACCAAGGTCTTCCAACCAAAACCTTAAATTCTACTAGTGATTTCTATCTATGCATGACACAGGCAAGACTCATCGTTGTCCATGGATGTTCTTGTCCCCGTCGCTATTTACCACCTTGCTTGTCAAAGAGAAGTAACATATACTCGGGGACAGTTTCGGGATCCATGATTTTTTTTTGGGGGAAATTACAAAAGTTCCCGAGGACCAAAATGAAAGATGGATAATTATATAGGGACCACTTGTGCAAGTTTTCCAAGATTTTCTGAACATCCCGGCACACACAGAGCAAAAGCCTGGAACGTGGAACGAGAACGGGTACGCAGAACTTCACTTGTCAAAGGGGCGGTGGGCTAGGAGCAAGTGTCTTTTGATTTTGTAGTTAGAATAAGACATGGTTTTTTAGTTACAATAAAGATAATGAAGATATATAATGTATTACTAACATATCTAGGTCAATCAAATATACCTCCAAGGGTAAAATGGTCACTTTCCCATTTTCTTGCCAAAATTGAATTTTTTTGAAGAATTCGGGAAAATCCAAAGATGTACATTCCAACCACAACGTCGTCCTAATGTCCCGTCGTGACTTCCTAATTTTCCGATGCCCAATTTGATCTCTAATTAATAATTGCATTTTATTTAACGTAACTCAAGCGTTTCTCAAACTAACGGGCGGCTTTTGGGGAAATTCGCATATTCGACCCGTGATTGATAATAAATCAAGTCACGTGCAAGTTCATTCGGTTCGTGACGACTTTAGTTGTCATGTAATCGCGAGAATCGATCGCTAGTTTCGTTGGGCACGATCGTTCGGTATAGGTTCTGGATCGTTCGTCAATTCATTTCGTGGTCAAACGGAATCACCCGCGATCCACCCGTATGACAGTGACGAATCGGCCCATAACTATCC